GCGGTGATGGGCGGTGGTGGGCGGTGGTGGTGAGTCAGGGTCTGAGGCCTTTTGTCGTGGGGAGGGCATTCTCCAGTCGTTCACGCTTTCGGACTCCCCTCAGAAAAATGAGATTGCTGAGTGCCGCATTGGCTTAGTCATGGAGGTCGCTCGTACCTCCATGATCCATGCGGCTGCTCCCCATTTTCTGTGGCCATTTGCAGTCCGGTATGCTGCGCATCAACTCAACCTCTGGCCCCGTGTCTCCTTGCCGGAGACCTCGCCCACACTGCATTGGACGGGGAAGGTTGGCGATGCGTCGGTGTTCCGAGTCTAGGGATCTTGTACCTTTGTCCGCGATACGTCCGCGGACAAGCTCTCCGTCCGCGCCATTCCCTGCGTCTTCCTTGGCTTTGTCCCTAACGCGCCTGGCTGGCAGTTTTACCACCCTACCTCGCGCCGTGTCCTCCCCTCTCAGGACGACACGTTTGACGAGTCGGTTCCTTTTGACCGTCTCTTCCCCTACTGCTCTGCCCCTCTCCCTCCCCCGCCGCTCTTCCTTGCTCCAGGTCCCCCTCCGGTAGAGCCCCTCCCCCCTCAGGGTCCTGCTCCCTCAGGTGTCTCTCAGGTAGACCCACCCTCAGGTGCTGCGTCTAGGGGTGCTGAGCCTAGGGGTGGTGAGACTGGAGGTGCTGCGACTGGGGGTGCGGAGCCTGGGGGTGCTGAGCCTGAGGGTGCGGGGTCTTGGGGTGCTGAGCCTGGGGGTGCGGAGCCTGTGGGTGCTGAGTCTGGGGGTGCTGAGCCCAGAGTTACTGCCTCTTCTGGGGGTCCTGCGGGTGTCTCGCCCAACCTGTCTCCCCGGCCGGAGCCGCTCTCTCTGCAGCAGTTGCGCGAGTGGCTTACTCCGCGTGCCCGCCTTCAGAGTGGAGCTGCAGGAGCTGGTGGCTCTGCTGCTGGAGACGCTGGAGCTCGAGGTGCTGCGGGTGCTGGTGTTTCTGCTGGAGCTGGAGGTCTCGGAGGTGCTGGTACTACTGGTCCTGGAGGTGCTCGTATTGGAGGTACTGGAGCTGTCGGGGCTGGTGGTGCTGGAGGTGCTGGTGCTGGAGCTGCTGGAGCTGGAGGTGCTGCAAGCATTGGAGCTGGAGGTGCTGCAGGCGTTGCAGCTGGAGGTACTGGAGCCGCTAGAGCTGGTGGTGCTACAGGCGTTGGAGCTGGAGGCGCTGGCCCTGGGGGTGCTGGTGCTGGTTCTGGAGACACTGGGCGACCGCGACCGTACTTCGTTCCCCTGCTTCAGCAGGTTCTTGCTCTCCCGTCTTCTACTGGCCTTCCTCCTCCTTTCCTGTGTCCACCCCTTGACCAGTCGCAGCCACTGTTGCAATCCGCCTCCCCGTTGCCTGCTCCTTCTCCCTACATTGAGCAGACTGGCGGTCTTACAGAGCGTCGTGAGCCCGAGTCTCGTCCTGCCTCGCCTGTTCGCACTGGTCGTCATGTTCCTCGTCCGCGTCCTCCTCCTCTCCCCGGCACACACGCTATGGCACTTCGTCCTTCCTCTGTTCCACTGCGTGTTCCTCTTCCTGCTCCTCCTGAGTCCTCTCTTCCTGTCGTCCCTGACCCTGAGTCTGACGGCGCTCGTGCTGCCAGTCCCAATGTCTCTCTCGTCTCCTCGCCACTGTTGTCACAGACCCTTCTTTTGAGCCCGCTGTTGCGTCTGCCCTTGTTGCCGAGCTCGTTGACTTTGCTGCTGCCTGTCGTCTAGACTACGCCACTGCTCTTGTTGCTGAGTCCGAGTCTGCTGGTCCTCCGTCCGTCGGGGGTGAGTGTGCTCTTGGCACGGACGTCCTTGAGGACAGGCAGAAGGACTTTGAGTGTCTTGCAGCTGCTGTACCTCGTTTCGCTTCCATGCTGCTTGCCCCTGAGAGAGACCCGGATGCACTTGACATCCCGACCCCGCGCTCTTACGCAGAGGCGATTACGGGTCCTTACTCCTCTCAGTGGCTGACAGCTATGGACGCCGAGATGGCATCCTGAAAGTCCACAGGCACCTACGTCGACGCAGTTCCCCCGTCTCGGGCGAACATAGTCAATGGCATGTGGATCTTCAGAATGAAGCCGCCACCAGGTTCTCCGCCTGCCTTCAAGGCGCGTTACGTTGCTAGAGGCTTCACTCAGCGACAGGGGGTCGACTACTTCCAGACCTTCTCCCCCACCCCAAAGATGACTACTCTTCGGGTGTTGCTGCACGTCGCTGCTCAGCGTGACTACGAGTTACACTCTCTGGACTTCAGTACAGCGTTCTTGATGGGCAGCCTGCACGAGGAGATCTGTCTGCGCCGCCCACCTGGCTTCACTGGGTCGTTTCCTGCAGGTACCCAGTGGAGCCTTTCGGCGGCCAGTCTACGGTCTCCGCCAGGCGCCTCGTGAGTGGCACGACACACTGAGGACTACACTTGCGGTTCTGGGGTTTACTCCTTCTACTGCCGACCCGTCGCTGTTTCTACGTACCGACACGTCGCTGCCGCCATTCTACGTCCTCGTGTACATCGACAACGTCGTCTTTGCCACTGCTGATACTGAGGCACTGACCCTTGTGAAGTCGGAGCTGCAGAAGAGACACACCTGCACTGACCTAGGTGGACTGGGCAGCTATCTTGGCTTGCAGATCTCCCGGGACAGAGCACGGTGCACCATCACCCTGACTTAGTCACACATGGTGCACCAGGTCCTTCAGCGTTTCAGCTTCCAGTTCTCCTCGCCACAGCCCACTCCTCTGTCTAGTGGCCACAACTAGCGAGGGAGAAGAAAAGAGAACAACGTCGCTGCTCAGCGTGACTACGAGTTGCACTAACTGGACTTCAGTACAGCTTTCTTGCAAGGTAGCCTGCACGAGGAGATCTGGCTAGGCCGCCCACCTGGCTTCGCTGAGTCGTTTCCTGCAGGTACTCAGTGGAGCCTCCGGTGGCTAGTCTACGGTCTCCGCTTGGCACCTCGCGAGTGGCAAGACACACTGAGGACTACACTTGCGGCTCTGGGGTTTACTCCTTTGACTGCTGACCCGTCGTTGTTTATATATTTGCCGCCTTTCTACGTCCTTGTGTCTATCGATGACCTGGTCTTTGCCACTGCTGACACTGAGGCACTGACCCTTGTGAAGTCAGAGCTGCAGAAGAGACACACGTGCACTGACCTGGGAGAACTGCGCTGCTATCTTGGCTTGCAGATCTCCCGGGACAGAACACGGCGCACCATCACACTGACTCAGTCACACATGGTGCACCAGGTCCTTCAGCGCTTCGGCTTCCAGTTCTCCTCGCCACAGCCCACTCCTCTGTCTATCAGCCACTCGCTCTCACCTCCACCTTCAGACAAGTATGTAGAGCCGAGTGGTCCGTACCCAGAGCTTGTGGGTTGCCTCATGTACCTGATGACGTGCACACGACCTGACCTCGCGTACCCTCTCAGCCTTCTAGCTCGCTACGTGGATCCCAGTAGGCACCAAAAGGTGCACTGCGATGCTGCGAAGAGGGTACTGCGTTACTTGTGCAGTACGTCAGGCATGGGGCTCGTGCTTGGAGGACGGGGTCCAGTTGTCCTCACTGGTCATGCAGACGCTTTTTGGGTTGACGACTTGGCTACGCAGCGGTCGTCACAGGGTTACACCTTCAGCCTCGGTTCCGGCTCTGATTCGTGGCGGTCTATCCGCTCGTCTTCGGTTCTCAGTTCTAGTTGTGAGGTTGAGATCCACGCAGGGGCCATGGCTGCACAGGAGCTACGCTTGCTCACCTACCTGCTGACTGACTTGGGAGAGCAGCCTCGTTCGCCTCCAGTTCTGTACGTAGACAACAAGGCCAGGAGCACAGATTGGAGCACAGAATGAAGCACATCGCTCTGCGATACTTCCTTGCTCGAGAGTTGTAGTAGCGTGGTCAGCTTCGTCTTGCGTACGTGGCCTCTAGGGCCAACATTGCTGATATATTCACCAAGGCACTTCAGCCTGGTGATCATCAGCGCTTCTCTACTGTTTTAGGCCTTGTGCCTACTTTGCCTCACTTGCTCACTGCGTGAGTTTGCTTGTACTGTGATCTATATATATACCTGCATGCTTACACTTGCTAGGGTCTGATCACTGTATTGTTTTGTTCTTTCTATATAACACTGCATGTGAACTGGCCTTATGGCCCTTTTGCTTGTGCTTAGATTGTGTGGTGACTTTGTGATCCACACTGAGGTTGCTTTGATTCTCTTGACTGGTCTTGTGACCACTTGTTCTCCCCCACTTTGCCTATGGGGGTGTGTCAGAGTATTATAATGCTTACTTTGTGTAGGCTATAGTGGGGTACCCCCGGATGTGAGTGCTAGGCAAGTGTCGAGAGTAAAAAGTGAGAGAGGAAAAGATGTTTCACTAAGAGAAGAAGGTACAAGATATAGGAGCGAGAGATGGCAAAGGGTGCACCACCTACAGGGACTATAACAGTAACTACACTACAGCTATAACTATATGCAGTTATACAGAAATATATATAAAATGTATTCTGACACACCCCCTAACTGCATGCAGGAATAGCCATATGCAGAACACCCCCTGAAGGTGTACACCCTGCGCAGTGGAAGAAGGAGAGGGCAAGTGAGGAGGAGGAGGGACCATGAGAGGAGAGGAGGTGGTGGGCGGCAACTGAAGCTGCTGGCACCCGGGCAACTGGAGCAACTGGCACACTGGCAAATGGAGCAACTGGCACACGGGCAACTGGAGTAACTGGCTCCGCGGCGAAGCGAGCGGCAGGAGCAACTGACTCACGGGCGACAGGAGCAACGGGCTCACGAGCAACTGGCGCAACGGTCTCACGGGCGACTGGAGCTGCTGGCTTCATGGCGTCCACCCTCCTACAACTTCCCCCATTCCCCAAACCTCCTTGTCACACCCCTCAACATCCCTACTGCCACTCTCTCATCTCCCCCACACCCTCCCCCCCCCCCACAGCGGCATGTGCAGCAGTGGGAGAGAGAGGAGGAGAGGCGGCAGCCGTTCACTCACACCCGCCACCCCCATACCCTCCCCCCCACTGCTGCACCCACAGCAGGGGGATGGAGGAGAAGGGGGGGGGGGGTGAGGGGGCTGGTGCTGCAGATCCCCTCCCCCCCCACTGCTGCACCCGCAGCAGGGGGATGGAGGAGAAGGGGGGGGGGCGGGGGGGCTGGTGCAGCAGATCCCCTCCCCCCCCACTGCTGCACCCGCAGCAGAGTGATGGAGAAGGGGGGGCGGGGGGGCTGGTGCTGCAGATCCCCTCCCCCCCACTGCTCCAACCGCAGCAGGGGGATGGAGGAGAAGGGGGGGGCTGGTGCTGCAGATCCCCTCCCCCCAACTGCTGCACCCGCTGCAGGGGGATGGAGGAGAAGGGGGGGGGTGAGGGGGCTGGTGCTGCAGATCCCCTCCCCCTCCACTGCTGCACCCGCAGCAGGGGGATGGAGGAGAAGGGGGGGGGGTGAGGGGGCTCGTGCTGCAGATCCCCTCCCCCCCCACTGCTGCACCCGCAGCAGGGGGGTGGAGGAGAAAGGGGGGCGGGGGGGGGCGGTGTAGACGCTGCTCGGGCGACAGCAGGGTGCGCGATGGGCAGGAACCCGTCATGCGCCACACCCGCCACCCCCATACCCTCCCCCCCCTGCTGCACGATCAGCAGGGGGATGGAGGAGAAGGGGGGGGGCGGGGGGGTGGTGCAGGGGCTGCACGGGCGATAGCAGGTCGCACAACGAGCAGTACACCGTCATGCGCCCTGCCCGCCACCCCCATACTCCCCCCCTCTGCTGCACGATCAGCAGGGGGATGGAGGAGAAAGGGGGGCGGGGGGGGGGCGATGTAGAAGCTGCTCGGGCGACAGTAGGTCGCACGAGCCTAGGGGCGGCGGGCGCGAGCGACGGGCCGAGGGCCGGAGCCTAGGGGCGACGGGGCCGACGGGCCGGGCCTAGGGGAGCGACGGCCGACGGGGCCGACGGGCCTAGGCGCGGCGGGCGCGAGCGACGGGCCGGGGGCCGGAGCCTAGGGGCGACGTGCGACGGGCAACGGGCCAGAACCGGTGCCTAGGGGCGTCAAGCGCGAGCGATGGGCGACGGGGCCGGGGCCTAGGGGCGACGGGCCTAGGAGCAACGGGGCCGGGGCCTAGGGGCGACGGGCCAAGGGGTGACGGGCCTAGGGGCGACGGGTGCGAGCGACGGGCCGGGGCCGGGAGCTAGGGGCGACGGGCGCGGGGCGACAGGCCGTGGCCTAATGTCGAGAGGAGGGCCACACGAGGGTGGCGCGTAGGGCAGCAGGTGGTGGGCCCAAAGAAAAAGCGGTCTAGAAAGGACCGGCTCTTAATACCATGTTAGAATTACTTAGTAGTGCCCAGGGTGTGAGTGCTAGGCAAGTGTCGAGAGTAAAAAGTGAGAGAGGAAAAGATGTTTCACTAAGAGAAGAAGGTACAAGATACAGGAGCGAGAGATGGCAAAGGGTGCACCACCTACAGGGACTATAACAGTAACTACACTACAGCTATAACTATATGCAGTTATACAGAAATATATATAAAATATGTTCTGACACCCAAAAAACATAGCAAGTAACAAAACAGGAAACAACGATGTACCATACCTGTGAAGTTTACAAAGAGAGAACGAGAGGGAGAGACCAAGAGAGAGAGAGAGAGAGAGAGAGAACGAGAGAGAATGAACGAGATGCCAGAAGAACGAACGAGAATGAATGAACTATGAAAGAGTTGGGTACAAGTACTAACCCTAATTGGGTTGTACCCCTTATGATGTTTTTAGTGAGTTGAACCCCCTTCGATGTTTTTAGTGGGTTGTATAATGCTTACTAATTGGCTATAGTGGGTTGTACTAACCCTAATTGGGTTCTGTTTTTTAATGTATATTGTTGTTCATCATTTTTTTAATGTATAGCTTGCATTCTGTTTGGTGATCATGATTTTCTCCTCATCTGCCTTGCTTTCTTTTCCATTTTCTCCACACTTTGATAATTCTTTTCTTCTCTCCCCTCTTCCTTCTTTCCCTCTCTTTCATTCGTCGCCTATTTCATTTTCCAGATTTCCTTCTGACTTTTGTTCCAGATGTGTACATCTGCCAAGATTACTTGTGAAGTGGATAGTAGTGGTGATTCGTAGAATTGTATTGTATTGATTTTTGCATGTTCTATTGTTTTCATAGCTTGTGCATTGAGTTTTTTTGTGTTTGTGTAAATGTGTGTGATCTTGTATATGTGTTTGTATTGTTTTAGTCACAATAGCCTTGAATGAGCCTAAAACGAAAGATAGAGTGCACTGTCAGATTTCTGCACAGCGGCTTCAAACGATGATAGCGTTCAGGTCACAGCTTCAAATGACTTGCTATAAATTGGATCTGGAGCGTCTAGATATCGCCTAAAATAGGCAATTTAGATCACACTATTTCATCAATTATTGATGACGCAATGTCGGTTTGAACGAACGGCACTATGGCAGCCACTATAGTCTTAAAACACAAATTAGGAAGAGTTACGAGTTGGGAATGACTCCCAGCTCCTACAAACCCCAAGAGCCGAGATACAGTGATGTGGAACAGTGCCACACTGTCCCCAACCACGAAGGGTCTCGAAACTACCCTCCACAAGGGCCTACACCAAGAGAAATGTTACACTACACAAAGTACTGCAACTATTCTCACTATCTTAATGTTTACCCTTTTGGAGAGCTTCGAAATCACTTGAATCTTGAAACCAAGGCTCTGGTTCTTCAAGATAAATTCTTCCTTGAGTTCTTGGAAGTCTGCTGCGCACACCTGCGACACGCCGAACGTTCCACACACGACAAAATAGAAAACCGCACACGACACGCAAACAACGACGTCACACGCAACTAGCGATAACTCGCTATTGACTCGACACACACATTCAAAATCATGCCTCATCATTCACACACTATTGTAAGCATGAAATATATATTATTTCATGCCCTCATACCATTCCATGCACACACGCACGCACGAACACGGACAACAAGCCGAATGCAAATCGTAGGGTTGCACCAACAAACTCCCCCTCGGATTGTTGGCCTTAGGAACTTGCTCTCTCAGTTCAGAGCCATCCCAGCCAGCTTGCAACACTTCCAATGCTGCTGCTCCACCAGCCTCTTGGTCATCATGTCAGCCGGCTGCCCCATCGTCTTTACGTAGCGCAACTCAACTTCACCCGCGGCCACCATGCTCCTCGTCCAATGCCACTTCATCCTCATGTGCTTGGTGAGGCCATGCAACACAGGGTTCTTAGCAAGAGCAATGGAACCCTGGCTGTCACAGTAGAGTGGGGTAGGTCCTTGCTGCTCCTCATCCAATTCAGCCAACAAACGCCGCTGCCATACAATCTCCCGTACGGCACGGAAGAGTGCCATGTACTCGGACTCCATCGAGCTCAATGCTTGATCCACCTGCTTCTTGCTCTCCCAAGCAGTTGGGCCTCCAGCAACACAGCAAATGAACCCTCTAACACTTGTCATGTCCTCTGGTTCGGAAGCATAAGAAGCATCCGAGAATGCGGTGAGGAACAAACACCCGGGTTCAACACCATCCGCGCCCTTTTGGCGCCTTTGCTCCGTTGCCGAGTATTGCAGCCCAACGGTCGGTGTTTGGCCAAGATACTTGGCCACCCTCATTCCAGCTGCTACCTGCTCCTCATTAGGGCATTGAACAACCCTATCCAACTGTCCGGTAGCAAACGCGACGTCCGGTCGTGTGTTTACCGCCGCGTACATGAGGCTGCCCACCAACGAGTGAAAAACGGCGCCTCTCCTCTTCACCAACGCTCTCCTCCTCTGGTCCCTTCACACACTTGAACCCAGAGGGAAAGGGTGTAGCCACATGGCCTTCACTCTGCCCAAAGTTGGCAGCCATTGCCTCCAGGTACTTTCGTTGATGCACCCGCATGCACCGCTTCTCCACATCGCGTTCAATGTGAAGCCCGAGGTAGAAGTTGACGTCACCAAGGGCCTTACACTTGAACTTGTCCTGAAGCTTCAGCATCACCTCCTTCACAAGATCAGAGGAGTGTGAGAAGATGAGGATGTCATCCACGTACACCACCATGAAGCTCCTCTGCTCCCCCTCGCCAAGCATGAACAATGAGTGATTGGCCGTTGAGGGAGTGAAGCCGATCTCCTCCAAAACTCCTCGCAGCTTTAAGTACCATTGCCTAGGGGCCTGGTTCAGTCCATAAAGGGCCTTCTTCAGCTTCAAAACTCTGCCACTACCATCATCAAACCCCTCTGGCTGTGCCATAAAAATCTCTTCCTCAAGGACGCCGTTGAGGAATGCGGTTGTCACGTCCATTTGTTTTACCACCCATCATTTGATGGCAGCACCCGCGAGTAGGGTTCTCAGCGTCGTCGGCTTCACCACAGGAGCAAACAACTCCTTATAGTCCACCTTCTCCTTCTTCTGGTACCCCTTTGCCACAAGCCTAGACTTATAGCGCTCGATTTTGCCGTCGGCGTCGGACTTGATCTTGAAGAGCCACTTGGACGTAATCGCATTACGCCCCTCCGGTAGCTCCACCAATTCCCACGTGCCGTTCTCCTCAATGCTCTTCAGCTCACTCTCCATTACCTTCTTCCACTCCTCAGCATCACTACTCTCCAAGGCCTCCTTGAGAGTTGCTGGTTCCCCCGGCATCTCCACCGGAGAGAAGAATGCGAAGGCACACTCCTCGTAGTCATTCTCCTCGTCATCTCCAACCATATGTGCCGCTCCGGCCAGAGCTGACTTGGCTGGCTTTCCCAATGCATCATAGGTCAGCCTTTTAGGGGCTTGGATTCTCCTCTTGCCCCTTCCTTCCTCCTCAGCTGCAGGGACATGAAGGCCTTGGCGTTGCTGCGGGGTGACTCGGATCCGTGGAGCACTCGTAGTGCGAGAAGGAAGTGTCGGTGCACGCTCGCTCACTTGCTGCACCTCCTCCTCTTCTTCCTCTGCATCCTTGGCCTCCTCTCCCCCATTCACAAGGGAAGATTGCCTTGTGGTGGTGCTGCCGCTGCTCAGCTCCAAGGGCAGCTCCACATGCTCCAAACCGGAATTCTTCACGTCCCCCAACCGCACGCCTATCTTTGCCTCATTCTCCGCCTTCCAATCCTTGTACATCAGATTCTCCATGAATTTGCAGTCCCTTCTCACCAAGAATTTCTTGGTGAATGGGTCCCAAAGAAGCCACCCCTTGCTGTTTTGAGCCATGCCCAAGTGCACAGCCCATATCGCCTTGGCACCGAGCTTGTTGTGCCGAAGATGCTTAGGCACGAGCGCCATGCACATGCACCCGAACACCCGAAGCATATCCACCTTTGGCTTCCTTCCAATCCACTCCATATAGGGCACCCATTTTTCTGCTCCCACATGAGTCAAGGCTCTGTTCTTGGCCACACACGCACTCCGCACCGCATCAGGCCAGAAGTAGTCAGGTAGCCCGGCTTCAATAAGCAACCCGCGCGCCGTCTCCGTGATTGTCCGGTTCGCTCGCTCGGCGATGCCGTTCATTGCAGGGGAGTATGGCATGGTAAGGGAGTGCCTTATGCCATTCTTCTTCAGCCACAATGAGAACTCCTTGCTCAGGAACTCCCCCCCTCGATCGGTGCGAATTTCC